ATATTTCTGTACTTGGCCATGTCAGTGCCGGACACAGGTGTGTATTTAGGTGAAACTCATCAAATCTTCAGATGCCTCGTTTTTCAACACGCAATCCACATCGCATATTAATGTTATACATAAATAATCTCGCGATGGTGTATCTAAATACAACTTCGGAATGTGTCGAACTCGGACTTTTATAAAATGAAGCCGTAAAGAAGAATTCTAATTGTAAGTATAAAGATTTGTCGTTTTAGATGAGAGACGGAATGTGTAGGAAAGTTACTCATGTCAAGTGTTATGAATCATAGATATTTTTAAAAAAATTTTAAAAACACGTACTTGATATTAATTAAAACATCTTCATCGTATCTGAATCCGGCACTGAACTTGGCTGCTTTATAAATATACATGAAGGACCAAAGGAACTCAATCCACAGTTCAGATGCACCGGAAATCAGGTGAAGAGTTTGTGACGGTGTTACAGGTCAATGTAATTCATGTCCGATTTCAGTCTGGTTATACTATTCTGCATGATATCAGTTTTATGAGTCCTAAATTTTCACGATTTGTCAGATAATAATTTGATTTTTATGTAAATATATCAAGTTTCATGTTGAAGTTAGCAATGGAAAATGAATTATCTGAAGGAAAGTCACGTAAAATTATTGTTGTTTCCTGAAAGTAAACGTAATTAAACATAAATTGTATACAAACATGTAAGGCGGATAATTATAAAATGACCTTGAAGTATTCTGAACAAAAGCCAGGATCAATTTAAGCGACGATATTGGATGTGTTTAGGTGGGAAGGATGAGATAATGATAATATTTTTGTTACAGGAATAATTAACATATATTGATAGAAAAATTTATGAATTTTAGTCATACCTTATGATCAATGTTTTTTATAATAAAATGTTTTGTTACTTCGAAAATGCAAATTAACAGGACATAAATATAAAATTTAACTACTAAGTTTGCATAAATTCGTATAATTTTCTTGCTTGTCACGGAATTTACATTTACGTTTAAAACTAATTTGCAGAAATGTCCACGTGGACCTGAACACGTGTGTGTTTGTAGTCATGTTGTATCGACCAGTTGAGTTTTTTTTTATTTCAAATAAGTTCCATCCGGTTAAATACTAATCGGTTTCAAAATTGTTTCAGACAAAAGTATCATAACTTTTTACGTACATTTCTTGGAAACTGTAACATGTTTACAAATTACTGTTTAAACTGATCAGAATACGTTGATATATTTGGATGAGGTTTAAACATCGGCGAAGACTCGTATATAATATTCTTAGCGTTTTAGTATTACTTAATTTAATATATATTTGCTAATGAAGACTTATATTGTTTTCTTAGTGTCGTTACAGTGAAATATTCGTGATAGAAATGGGCTATGCATATTTTCCATAACGTTAGAAAGAAATCTGCTACCGTACCTACTTAATTTGAGGGCATGCATATATCAGATAACGATATAAATACTGTATAATAAATTAGAAATTTATTATAATTTAAGTAAAGGTACTAATAAAGAAATAATAAAAAAAAAACATGCACGTGTTTCAAAATTGTTATCCGAGAGAAATTTAAAATACAAAACAGTTAGTTTATTTACAAATACATTATATTTCAAATATTTTATTACTACGCCCACAAATAAACATAACCTTTAAAAATGAGGCACGAGTAAGGAACTTTGTGATTGGTTTCAGAATTTGTAGGCCTAAATTTTTGTATGTTGCCAGCCGCTCGGCTCAAGACGTGGGTCTTAACTGAGTAGGTTCGAATCCCTCTCCAGTCATGAATATTTGTCCGTGTTTTTCTGTGTTCTAATTCCCTATTGAAGAAGCCTTACGTCGGGCTGAGAGTTCTAAATTTCAGTACAAATTAGTAACTTCAGAAGTATATCTAAATTTAAGCAAGACATAAGGTCTTGACCTCAGAGGACCTAATAATATGAATTGGTCTTCTATTATGGTTAGGATGGTAAAATGGAGGAGGTTTGTAGATGAGTGATACGGATACGTGTCCAATAATTGGGTAAAAAAATTACTACTGTATTTTTATCAAAACGTATCTTTGAAAGATCTAGCCTCTGCGTCCAGACCGGCTCTGGGGCCCACCCAGCCTCCTTTACAATGGGTACCGGGGTCCTTTCCCGGGGGTAAAGCCGGCCGGGGCGTGATGCTGACCACTCACCCCCATCTAGTGCCGAGGTCAAGGAAGGGAGGAGCTATACCTCCTCTCACCCCAAACGCCTACATGGCGTAGAGTGGGACAAACTTTACTTTTTATCTTTGAAAGATAGTTCTAAGGTTTGAAAAAAAAAATACCGATTTAATATCGCAGGATATGTCTGACTTCTGTGATGATGTCTTGAAGAACAACATCAGTCCAATGCTGGGGAGGACCTTTTCACTAAATAGGTTTTGTTTTCCAAAACGTCAGTTGGAAGTAATTTGTCTATAGTCTGCGTAATTTTAAAGTATTTTCCGATTTCTTTAGTTACTTCAGGCCTGTGGATACAGATATATTCCTAATTTAAGGTACATACGTATAGGAGAGCAGGTGAAGACCAAATACATAAAAACGGATCTAAAAATACACCATCTTTGACATTTCATTATTTTACATCTTATAAATAAAGTTAATTGCATTTATGCAAGGATCAGTGCGTATAAAAGTTAATAAGAATGTATAAACAATTTTTCATAAAGCAGTGATTTAGATTTAACATAATAAATTCGTCATTGGTACCACACTAATTAACATCGATATACATTCAATAAAAAAATCTCAGCGAATTACACTTATTAGAACAAATATCTGCAGCACATAATTTGTTTAGTGCTAGTTATATATAATTCGATAGAGATTAATCGATAACTTCTGCTTTATTGACAGTCATTATACAATTTATAAAGCTGTGTATTCATATTACATGTATATGGGAAACTCGATGCTTCCAGAAAATTACTGATTTCGAAATCGTTCTTCCAATTCAGTTATAGTGAGAGATATAATCTCGGAACTGTTTGTTAATAAGTCGATTCAACACAGTTACTCATATGATACAATATTCCAATGAACAAAGTCTCACGGTAGAATACGGACTGCAACCTATTATTCTCTGGAATATTATGGTCAAGTTTCGTCCAAGGCCATTTCATTTTCAATCTTATAAATGTTCAAAGAAAATTACTTCAGAATATTTGTCCTGGCCCACAAGCTTCTGGTGGAATAATGTTAAAATCGTTTGTTACTTTCGACTATGCGTGCACTTTAAATAAAGATCGACTAACATAATCGATCTAACTAGTGTGAAACAATTATATTTTTTTAAATAGTGTTTTCTCTTTCGTCTACTAACAGATGTATTATAAGAATTTTAAAAGTAGATAAACACTCTTAAAAATACGATTTATTTGTATAATATTTGCTGGTATAAATATGTGATCTTAATATCTGTAAAGAACACTACTCGGTAATTTCTAACCTAACTAATCAGTATATGCCTCTTTGCCAGACGAATTTTCATAAAAATATGTTGTTACAAATGATTTGTTTTTAAAACATTTTGTTGAATACATCGTTACAGTAACACTGACATGTATTAGGAGTTTAAATCCTGTGCAGAGTGGTCAGAATGACACTGAAATTTACAGTTTTAACCTCATTTTCGGACATGAAATACATTTTCCCACTGAGAATATCGAATCTTACATTCAAACGACGGAATATTTAAAACCGTCTACAAATTAGAATATACAGTGATTTAATTATTTTGTGTAGTTTTTTAGTCACAATTTACGTCTATGTGTTAAAAATCTCATAAATTTCAAGAACGAAAAATATAAATTTAAAACTCGAAAGAGAAGTTGGAATGAACAAAGGATATTCCCAATCATCATGTGAAGAAGGTATGTAACAAAAGATAAGTGTGCAACTTTTATGTTGTTAATTATGTTAATTTGTTATATTTGTTTGTAATATCCAAGTTAATCAAAGACAAGGATTGTGCTAAAATCAATTACAATGCAATGAAAAAGTATCATGTCAGACTGAATGTTTAAGCCATGCAAACATTCCTGTTTAAATACTCAAGGGTAATTAAATATTTAAATTTTTTTTAAATCAGGGGTTATCACAAACAAGGCTTTGTTAATGCCATCGGAAAGTAACAACAAGGCTGCTATTAAAATATTACTGTTAATAAATAATTTCGGATATCTTACTAATTATTGGGTTTCTGAGAAAAAAATATATATGTGAGCCTATTTGAAATACTAAGTTTGTACCGTTTCTAATCAATTTCCACGAAGTTTCAATTAATTGTTATCATTTATAAGTTGGTAATCCGCGAGTCGATAGCCAACAGTGAATGCGGCCCTGGATTTGTGAAATGTCGCGAAATCCTCTTTTAAAAAGGCCGCTAGTAAGCTTCTCAAAATAAAGTACAACACAGATTTTCCTTTAAACTATTTTCAGATCAATTTTTAGAGTGTTTCGAACATAATTTTCTAATTCAATATAAACCAAGTATTTGTTCTGTTTTAATTTTTTTTAGGTTTCTAAATTTAATGTTACATTACTAATTAAAAATATTTGGGGAGAGTTAAAATACTGTCAGACGTGTTGTCTAAAACGTCCGCCTTATATTTACCGATGAAATGACATTTTCATTAAAAGAAACCCAATGTTAAATATGTTTTCTAGGGTTTCTTTTACACCGTGTAATCTGGTAGAAGTTTACAGATGTTTGCTGCCACCATCATGAGGGCGATTTACTCTGATGATGGAGACAGTAGGAATCTCTGTATCATCTTTAAACTTACACCAGACAACACGGCTCGACAACCCAGAAGACAGCCATATTCAAACAGCGTGGTTGTTTTAAATTATGGCATCACTAGCGCTGTCGTGTTGGTAATTGGAAGCTTGTCAGTTTGAGGTTATAAATAAAAAGAGTAGTTAGTATCATATAAAACTGTTCTTTTCGCAGGAAACAAAAAGACCATCCAAAGAAATGCAAGTGACCATCGCGAGACAGCTGGGTTTGGAACCCACGACGGTAGGGAATTTCTTTATGAACGCGCGTCGTCGTTCGATGGACAAATGGAAAGATGAAGACCCGAATAAAACTACGGTTGTAACACATGAAACAGAAGAACACTCCCCTGGCGCTGCAAGCGTTGTGACTGGTCACGGACAAGCGCTCCCACAGCAACAGCAACAACAACAACAACAGCAACAACAACAGTCTGACGTATTGTGACACCATGCAAGCTACCCCATGCGAGAACAGCAACACCATCTGGTGTTTCTGTGAGAAAAACCTTGTCGACCGACGATAGCGCGGTGCTGGATTCCAAATCTAATTTTGGTAATTCGCTTCACATGGGGGAAGGAAAATAACACGTGTGTTGTGTTGTGGGACAGATAATATTATCAAGAACCAATGTTCATAGAAATTTTGATATTGATCGTGCAGTATGCATGGAATTAACTTAGGAGTTTCATGACGATTAGTGAGAGTCATTCACAGGCAATGTCGAGTAACTGTCAGACAAGTGGCGAAAAACCTAACCTAACTTTCTCGTACGTGAGGAACATAGCTACAATAAAACGAGTATGATATCGGATCATCCTCGGGGACATGAAGCCGGCACAAAATTATGTAAAAAAAAGTTTTAATTTATATTCGTTGGAAAGAAATCTGTGACCAGCTGTCGATTTCCATACGCTACTTTGCATAGCATACACTACTATGATGATGGAAAAGTTTTGTTTCTTGGAGGTAAAATATATATATATATATATATATATATATATATATACCATATATAAAAAAACTTAGCGATGTGAAGCACGGATAAAATCCAAGTTGTCTCTGGAGCAGATGTTTGTTTTGACAAGTAAATAAAATAACTTTGATCTCAGGGGTTTGAATGCAAATGTGTCAGCCGGTACAGAGAGGCAACCGTACAGTCTTTGCGAAGAGAAGAATAATTTTCTGTCCCTCCAGGAACCAACACTGATATTTCATTAGGGAAATTAAAACTTAGCTTGAGTGTATGTTAAACAGTGGTGGTAGCACTGGATTTAGGGATATTTTGTAATACCGGTTTTCTTGACCAATTGACCATTCCACGATCTCAGCTTGGAATCATGTTCAAATAGTAGTCTAGTCAACACAAAGAGTCTTTATTACTTATATTCTAGTCCTAATTTCTTTTGCTGTGTTCATGTTAACCAAAGTAAGTTCATTTCTTTTGAGGTTAAGTTTGTTGTGATATGTTATATTAGATCTAGTCTCAACACTGAATTCTCCGATGGAGAGTGAAACATTCCAACCAAGAGTATTATTATGTTCATACGGCTACAAGATTTGATTTGTTATTATTTTACACGACTTTTTTTTTTTAAGTCTTTGCTCACTTGTGCTATGGACCGGAGCGTCATAAAGGTTTAACTAAATATCTGAGCAATAGCCAGCCTTTCTTGTGTGTTGCTGTTTGTCCTTGGTGTTTAGTGACCCTGCACACTCAATTATCTATTGTTATATATTGTACCCCAATCTCCTTTACTTAACATTCAAGGCCTCTGGAGGTCTCTTCGTTTCGTACTTACATTTGTCGCTAGATGTCTCCGAGCATCGTTGACCATTACAGATACACGTATCTGGCCAGGAGCTGTACGGTGTTGGAGGGGGAAACCGCCGAGCATTTGCGCACGCGCTGTCTTGCCCTTTCCACCTTCCCCTACACATCTTACTGCGACGTAGCTCCGGCTCGGATATATTTTGCGACAATTAATTTTTTGTATTTATTTTGTTAAATTATTGATGTACAGTAATTTATTTGTATTTATTGAGTTATGCATGGCACGTAATGCAAGGTTTGGCTGCACTATCACGAAGGTAGCAGAATATCTATTAGCAGTGTTGCTAGGCGTGTGATTGCTTTTGGATTGACCAATATCTCGTTCTTCTCATCTCCTGTGTTTTAGAGTAGCTCGATATTTTTTTTTCTAGGTTGTACATATAACTAACAGTGTCAGGTGAACGGGGCACTGATTTCATTATCTTGACAATTTCCAATGACTTGCTCTGAACGGACTACATCTCTTGCAATATTTTGAAGGACTAGATCGTGATTATTGGGTCAAGCTAGTGATTTGTCTAATAGATATGCACAGATTTTTACATTTTTATAGTGTACTTCATTTGTAGCAAAGCAACTATATTATTCTTTTCTACTTATTACCAAAGAGCTCAATGTTAAATAAAATCTGTAAAGTAAGTGTTTGATTTATGTTTTATTACGATATTTTGTTGAACTTTGTTCTACCTTGTAGGCCTAGGCACTGGTGCCATTTGGCGGACCAAAAGCTAAATCCATTCTGTTTAGCTGTTCCTTATAAAATTCAATCAAGAATTATTGAATAATGGTGTTAATTAATTTAGCGAATTACTATGTTAATGAGTGCACAAACGGTTCCTACAGTGGCAAGAACCGAATTCACTACGAGTTCTAGTCATTTGGACACTCATCGGTCGTGTTAACAATACTCGAGAAAATAACCCGAATTTTCGGTTCTTGCCATGTGCATTAAGTCTGTACTGTGCAATAATTCTATTGGGTTTTTCGTGTGAATTGTATCTTGATAACATATCATTGTGGAATTTTTTTTTTTTGTATGTGTTGAGGTAAGATGGGCGAAAACTTTCTATTTTTGGGTTTCGTCAGTGAGACATTGATGTTCGTGGAACTCGGAATTCTGCCCAATGTGGAGTCTGTAGCATCTTATAGATTGCATCCGCTCTCGTAAAGTGCATATTGCATTTTTGAGTACGTTTAGTCATTAAGTGATAACATTCCTTTTAGCGACACGAAGTTATGCATTAAAATAAAAAAATATACCAGGTACAAGTGCAGACTGTGTTTTAGGAAGAGAATTTCTTCAACCTGAATGAACCTAATTATTATTATTATTATTATTGTTGCTATTACAAACTCCACTCTGAAATTTTCGGAGCAGTCATTGTGATCACACATACATTTATAAAATGTAATAAGACAAATAATAATGTTTAGCGACTTTTTTTGGTGGGAGATAATCTATGCAAACTGCAGATGGTTCACTTAAATCTGATACATTAGTTATGTAAGCAGCCCTCCACCCTCATAGGTTGAACTGATAGAACGTGCACAGTATAAATGAAATTGATAATCGAATAAGGTGAATACCGTAACACAAATACAAAATAATCTCACCGTAGCCATCGACTTCCGTTACGACACGCGTAGTTCCGGAAGTCAGTGGCCAGGGTGCGTTGTGTCTGTGACCTTGAATATTTCGGAAGAAGCAAGTATGCAAGTATATCAACTTCCGCTGCCCTCAGATGAACAGAACACGATGCAATCAATAATTTTGTGTATAATATCACTTTACAGATAATAAAAAGATGGGAGTGTGGGTTGAATACTGATCACTTGCTGAAACTAGGCACTGTACCACTCTGCTGTCTGCGTCTCGCATCACACTTGTAAAATACATTTCATTGTGACAGTGAATAGAACCATAGCGTTAATGAATAGCGGCTTCTTGTGTATTCATTATTGCATTCCTCTATCCTAATCCTTTTTCTTACGTGAAATTATTATTGAATATAAAAATTTTTTGTTTAATTTCTCCGACTTCGAGATCAATATTTTGTGGTCCATTTATAAAATAATGAATACTCTAGTGTACTTATGTTTTAAATATGTTCTGTTTTAGAAAACAAAATGATTGAGCGTATGCTTATAATTTTTTTTTTAAATTGTGGCGATGACACTGTTTACAGATGTTTTCAAGAACAACTTCCTGTGTCCGTCGTCAAGTTGAGGCGAGAAGTGACTGTAAGTATTAGCACCTGATTGCTGTTCGGTAATATCGTGTTTTATTTCAAGATGGAGACATCGTAGTTATCCAAAGTATGAAATTTTATATGTAACGCAGAGGGAAGGCTATGTTTCAGAACGTGATGTAGAGAATAATATTTGGACCTAAGAGTGAAGACGTAAGAACAGGACTGAGAAAATTGGTACGTGACAAATTTTATAATTTGTAATCTTCATCAAATATTATTATCGTAATAAAAATCAAGGAGGATTGGGTTGACAGATAAAATATATGGAAGGCGTGAAACATTTATAAAAATTTTAGTCTGCTGAAGCTGTTTGGCAGAACATCACAACTTTCGACCCGAGTAATAGGTAATCACTTTCATTGTTTGTTTTATTTCTGGAATTGAAATTAATTTTTAAACAATATCTGTTTGTGCCACAGAGCCTTCATATTTATGCAGTGTTCCAATCTGCTTTATAATACCTAGTCCCACTGCACTGTTTAGAGGACATAATTTTTGATGTAAATACGTCGGCAAAACAGCGTTAGGAAAATGTGTAAGATCCATATCAACAATGTGTAAATATGGACCGACAATGGTCAGCTTTCGTGCATTGTTGATACCTAAGAAACTAATTGTTACGACATCTGTTTACTCGGCATTGTTGTGTTTCATTATTACTGTCAACAACCCACTTTCGTTATTGCGGAAAGAGCTGAGCTGTGAATCGCTTGTAGAATAAGTGCGTCGTAGACTAGAAAATATTGTTCTGTTAAAAACGTTTTAGAATATCACGAGTACTTATCTTATATAAGAATTATTAAGAAATCTGTGATACTGCCCTCCAATCTCTCCATTTTAGTTTTGATTAAATTGATAATTGCCGGTGGACATCGAGGTCTCCTACAATTGAACAAAGTTTGAGGTAAGGGATTCCTATTTATTATTATTGTTCATCAACTTTAAAGTTTTCATCTCCATTTGTGAACTCGTGTAAGAGAATTAGGCTTGTCTTCTTTTGACGTAAATACGTCTATACGGAAAGGTCATTCGGCAAAAACAGCGTTAGTTAGCGCTGAGTCATCTTTAAACGTTCATTCCTCAGGAATGCTAAGAGTAAGGGTAATGTAATGTAAAATAATCAGTAAATAAGGACCTTTAAGAATCTGTAATGTATTTTATAGTAATTATAATTAACCAATGTGTACAATTTTCGATGCATCTGGCGCGTTAAGCGCCCGCCTCTCGAAAACCGTAAGAGATGGATCTGGACATATTGCGTACGAAATACGTATTACCTCTTGAGCTTTCCATATCTGTTTTCAGATTTTACATATCACAAATGGTTTAGGTTCTACAAACATTTATTTATACAAATAAAGGCGGATAACACTTCACGCTACTACTGCGTCTGTGCAGTTACGTCATAGAAGCAGAACAAAGCAAAATGTCACGTTATATCATGAAACTTTCTAATGTTAAATATTAAATTATGCATTTATAAAATAAATCTAGGTCAAAATTAAATAAAAATCATTTATCTACCATCTCTAGAACAGGCCACTGGGCTTTGATGAGTTAATAGAAAATTATTATTTTATAACCTTACTACTGAAATTCAAAATTATTTTTTATGGTGTGGAAGAATGATGAATGGAGTTAATTTTGGACAGGATCCAGTAGAGGGGCATCCTGTTGCAGTGTTTCATAATGCCAGTAATTGTGCTCTCATTTTGATCGCAAATACATAGTACATAACCTCAAAGATCCTGCTGTGTTTACTAAGCAACAGAAAACTTTCATTAGGATTTGAGATTTTCGTGGCAGTGAGTCCGAGAGTAGCTGTCTTCTGGGGTTAATTGGTGCTACAACCCCAGAAGACAGCTATCATTAGAAAACTTTCACTCCAAAAACAGGCTGGGGTCTAGACGAAACCAAACACCAACTAAAAGGTAGCCAATTTCGTCATACCACAGAAAGCAGTGGGACAGACTACGGTTTTAATTATTAGCAAATAGTTCATAGATCTCCTAGGAAATGAAAATATTACAAAAAATATATTGTCTAAAAGTAAGTGTTATGAGTATGATTGTATCGTCTGACTGGATAGTCTTGCTTCAGACTAATTCAACAGAATTCAAATGAAGATACTGAGTTTGTAAGGTACGTATAAACATGTTTATTAAAAATGCCTTCTGTATCATATTACTTTCAGTGTTATATCTCGTCACATATATTAGCATTTTCACTAGGATATATTTTATTAACATAACACAAATAATATGATTCTGATGTGTTCATATCAATTAACACTAAGAGATTTTTTTGCAATTATTTAAATATCTAATTTGTTCAATTTTATTCTAACGTATTCTGTATGAAGTTAATGGCTTTATTTTAATAAATGTTGTTTTGGGAAAGACGAATTTAAGTTCAAGGTGTATAATGTGCATTGTAGGTTGAGACACTAACAGTTCAATTGAATTTGTGTGTTGAAGAACAAGACATAAAGATCAGTGTCTTATTGAATTTGATGTCTAAGTATATTTCTTTTCCTAATTTGTTTGCAATTACTGAATACCTGGGGACACAAACACATACTTATTTGTGTTATAAGCCTATATTTAAATCTTTATGATATAAAATATAATAATGTAAGGTAGGAGCAGTGGTGAGTCCTGATCTAGAAGTGAGGTTATGTGGGAATGCAACATTATTAAATACTCCTTCCCCCTTCCCAGCAACTACATTGCAATGCTAGGATATTTTAACAACAACAATAATAATAATAATAATTCTCTGTTTTGTTTTATATATATTTATACATTCCTCCAACTTTGGTCTCTGCCACAACATTGTATTTTCATTACTGAAGGATTAGTTTAGTATATGTTGCGGTTATGATTTGTAAAGGTTATAATTCTTTCCTTTAAGATATCCTCTGACCCATGTGTCATAAATGGTCTCTTCTTCTCAGGTTTTCCAACTAAAAAATTGTGTAAATTTCTCATCGTTCCCATGCTGTGTGTCCCACTCATATCATCTTTCTTAATTTGATATTTATAATGATATTTAGCAAATTAAAATAACATCAAATTGATATCCACTAGTTTAGCTGAGTGGTAATGTATTTGAGTTGTATGTAGTATAATTTATTGAACTTGCTATCCTAAGTGAGAAATGTTTCATTAATTTTCTCAATGTAAATACCAGAATAGTATTTAAAACAGATTAGAGTGTTTTTTTAATGTATCTGTCTCATTTCACCATTTTAGATTAACCTCATAACCTCATATTATATTAGTACCACATAACCTTTTCAGTTCATAAAGTACCATAAATAAATAACCAAAAGATCATAAGAACCATATAAATATAATGGCTGTAAAATTTATGATTTCAAAAGAAATTACTAGAAGAGAATTGAACAACTGTAACCCTCCACTATAGTGATCTAATATATTTACTGCAAAATTGAAGTTATTTTTCACATTTAATGCACCTAATATAAATTAAACATATTGTATGAATAAATGTGCAACTAGAATAGACTGTAATAGTCCATAGGCTTACCTAATGCACAGACACTCACTCTGATATTATATGTTTCAATATTAATGTCTGTTACTTGTGTTTAATAGATAATTTTTGCCAAATATTCGCCAAAGCACCCCGTTCTCAAACACCCTCAATCTGTGTTTTTCCTCCAACATAAAAGAACATCTTTTTCCATACAAAATAATAGGTTAAATTATAGTCTTGTACTTTTTAACACTTACATTTTTGTGTGTCTTCCTTTATGCTGTTTATGTTCTTCCTGAATAAATTAACATCATCAGCATAGACCAGAAACTGATTTGACCTATTCATTTCCAGTTCGTAGACCTTCCTGATGGCATAACCAAAGTTGAAATGCAATGCTGATAAAATATCTTCTTGTTTGAGTACCTCGCTCGTGGGTTAATAGGAAATGAATCACATGAATATTTACCAAAACAGACTTTCATTTAAATAAGATTCAATCAGCCAAACTAGTTTCAGTGGTATACAGAAGTTAATGAGAACGTAGTTGCTTTAAATGAAATTGAGTACAACATTCGTAACGACCCGCCATATGCTTTATTTAACATATTCATATGCAAAAAGTACTACGCCCACTGCACAGATGGCAGCATCGAGTGGTTATAGTGAGCCCTCCTATTGGTCGTACATTCATTTTTGTTCGCCTAGCTTATTTTGCTGTCTTGTCTTTTGTTTTGCTTTGTGTCTGCTGTATCAATCCGCTGTTGCAAACGAAAGCTTGGTTGTGATACAACTTAGTATTGGAATTATGAATCGTTATTGTGGAAACGTAAGATAACATTCACCACAGACAAACCATCCTGATCGACAGGATTTTTTTATAGGTGAAATCAGTTTGATGTACTAATTTTTATGCATTAGGCCTATAGCTTTCGAGATGAAACAGCATTAATAGATCACGGCTAGGCTTGCAGCTTGTCACACTGAATAGTAAATGTGTCCTCGCGGTGGCAGGTGTCTTGCTGTTCCTTTGTCAGCTTGAGAGGAAGAAAGGAAATGGGGAACTGCCTAAAAGGTTCTACAGCTGATGACATATCTCTACTCAGAGGTAGCGATGGCACAAGGGATTCGTCTTCCTCGGATCAGCTGGGTCCACCACCGCCGTACCAGGTAACAATTTTTGTGTTGTGACATTCTTCTAAAAGAGTAAACAATAATTCCGAAATTGAAAATAAGACAGTGACTCTGGAAAATAGTACTAGAGCGATAATTTTGAACAAATTGAATTGCTTGGAATTCAAGGTTATTGTGATAGTTGTCAGAATTAACCTTGAAAATGCGAGTCTCACCGTAAAAGACTAAGACACTTTGTGAAATTTGGCTTGGAAAATAATTTAGAGAAATTGATTGATTTTGCCCATATAAAGAAATAAACAACATGATAAGTTGATATCTTTAAGAGAAAGAATAGTTATAATAGCTAGTTTTGTGAAAAACAAGATATGTAATTTGCTTTACATAGCCATGTTGCTTTTCTTATTCAGAGTTAAAACACTGGGGTAGTGGTATTCGTTTGTGTAATGTTACAGAAATACTGTAAATAATTCTGTTTTACTATTCAAAACTATAATCTGCAACATTAAATGTTACCTGTGAAAGACATTTTTTTTTGTAGTCAAGAATGATATTCTAGTACAAATTACATTTCTATGTTCCATTGTTATGTAGGAGCATTGAAGTGAATATAGGAATCTAGAATGTATAATTTATTTCTATACTGCCAGTATTTGTAACTAGTAATACCCATAAGCTGGGATGATGACCCCATGCTAAAAATTGTTGGTTGTGCAATAAAATTATATTTCATTTCAGAATGTAATGTACTTACAAAGCACTTGAACTGTTAACAATTGATATTGGTCTTCTGGGTTGTAATGTGTTGTTGATCAAGTGATCATTGTAAGTGATTGAAGTCCTGATCAGAAGAAGATAACACATATTATTCTTTGCACAGTGATAATGTTCAGGAAATACTCATCTGTTTATGTTGCCAGTATCAACATAACCGTCTTTAGCTGTTTATGAATTGCATTTAAATCCATACTTCTCTAACAGTTTTATCAGGTGAATGACGAAGCTCCCCTCTTGTCTGTGATAGAACTGAAGTGAATTTTCTTCCTGGAAGACAGTGTTGGTTGCTGCTGATATTTTTGAGCTGCATAACTGATAAGAATTCCATTTCTTTTGTGATATACAATTATATATGTTTTCAGTACTCAGTCTTCATTTTACTCAAAGTATCTTTGATAAGAAAAATCTATTAATATGTGCATAGTGGCCGGGAAATCCGTCTTGACCACGAATCCACCGACGCTGGTATTCCCAGTTTAGACTTCTGTAATTATTGTGGCTAAAGTTTGGGGGTTCCTTACTTATTTGAAAAATATCTTCCTTCAAGTTGAGGCATTACATGTCAAATAATGTATTGTTTGTGCCACAAAAACTAAAGTATTTTATATAATTCATATAATATAATATAGAAAAGTAACACAAGAAGTGTAGATTTGTTTTTTATTATTAACTTACTAAGCATAATGGCAAAGCACATAAAAAAGTGGGAGATTCTAAACATTTACAAATTCCGTATTATACTTTATGTAGCAAAATTATCATTATGGGCACATTTGGAAATAATGGCGTAGTACGTTCATCTCAATTGGATGTTTTATGTAACTTCATCTTCCCATACCTGGTTTTCTTTGTTTTAAGCAAGGATTTTCTTTTTGTACTCCACATATCAGCTCTGGGACCCCCACCCAGTGTACTGTCTGAAGGGTTCAGGGACATATTAAAGTTGCCAGATCATAAGCTGACTACTGACCTTCATCTCAGCATACATTTTTACATGTTTCCAACTGAAAATAGTAAATATGCACCAATTGTTCTGCATGTCCAACTGTGTGTAATGTTCTGAGAATTTTGTAAAAGTAAAGTAAAGTTTGCCCCACTATACACCATGTAGGCACTTGGGGGAGTGGAGGTATAGCTCCTCTCTTCCTTGACCTCAGCACTAGATGGGGGTGAGTGGTTAGAGTCACGCCCCGGCCGGCTTTACCCCCGGGAAAGGACCCCCGGTACCCATTGTAGAGGAGGCTGGGTGGGCCCCAGAGCCTGTCTGGACGCAGAGGCTAGAGGAAAAATCCTCTGCCCCCGTCGGGGATCGAACCCCGGTCGTCCAGCCCGTAACTAGTCACTATACTGACTGAGCTATCCCGGCTCATTCTGAGAATTTTGTAATGTACTTTAATTAAATCTGATTTTGGGGGAGTTTATGAACATTGTTGACATTACACTTTTGGTTAAAATTGTACATCAATAATTGTCACCTTGCATGAAGACTTTCATATGTTTCTGCAAAAGTCATTGAACCCAGACAGCAATAATGACATTGTCAAAGGTAAAATACAGGCCAGAATAATTATACTTTGAATACGTTTCCTAATTTATTGACTCGCGTACTAAGATGTTATTCCAGAATTATATGATCCTTGTTCATAAAGGAATTGGTAGAATTTTTTTTACTTAAAAGGAAACAAAACAATGCCTCGTTTCAGGAGGCTATGCCAGTCTATTATCCGTCCCCCAATGTGAGCCGACCTGCTGCACAGCTGACGGAAGAGGAACAAGTTAAGATAGCTAAGCGGATTGGATTGATTCAGCATCTTCCCGCAGGAACATATGATGGCTGTAAGAAGAATAGGGAGTAAGTTTTTTGTTTCCCCGGATTTTTTTTGTATGCTTCTGGACGTTTGTCATCGATAAGTGATATTGTTACTTAAAAATTAAGGGTTTTATTTGCAGTTTCAACAGAGTGCAAATTTTGAGTACTGTATTACTGGCCTATAGCTATGAATTTATGATTTAAAATTAACTTTTTTAACCTCATGGACTGAAATTATTTTGATTTAAGATATTGTCCTTTGGCTGCCGAAGTTCATGGAAAATTGTTCTTATAATATTGGAGCAAACAGCGTTGATGTGTTGGTTTTGAATTCTGATTTTGAAGATCTTGGGTCCAATGACTATATTGAATATGAGCACGACTTACACTTACGATTGTTATTTTGTGAATTGGCACGCAAGAAGAAGTGAAGATTGGTCTTTTTCTGATTCTTGTCTGTGTCATGAAATAATTTTGTGATTGAAGTTGGGTACACATTATTTTAGCATTTACATATGATCGTGGCTGCTCATTTATTACAAATGGAATTTGTATATTGTAATTTAAGTATATTTTCACTTAATATACAAAGTAATTCCAGTAGATAAAAGAAAATGTGATATGTGAACCTCATGAATGAAGAGTAAGTTCCATGTCATAAACCATCGGAAACTTTTGGAGGTAAAAGATTTCATCCAACATCTACCATTAATCTTCTGAAATCAATGAAAATGTGAAATATTTTGCATCTTTATTTTTTCGCCGACATGGGAAGTGTTATTTATTTCACTTTCGTCATTCTTGACGTCATTCCTCATATTTCTAACATTTTTATTTCCAGATGTGTGATATGTATGATTGAATTCATGGTCGGCGATGCAGTACGCTATCTGCCTTGCATGCACATCTATCATGTGGAATGCATCGACGACTGGCTCATGCGAAGCTTCACGTGTCCATCGTGCATGGAGCCAGTGGATGCAGCGTTGCTGACGAGTTATGAGACCAACTAGCCTAACTCAAATTAACACAGGCCACACACGGTTGAGAGGGCGGCTATGTGGCATGAGTGGTGTTGGTGGTGGCAGTGGTGGTGGTGGCGACACCAGTGTTGTCATCCAACAGAACCTAGAATGACCAAAGTGGAGGTGAATCTGGAACCATAGCTCCAGTCTCCAAATTTACGCGACTGTGATGGTAAAAAATAAATCTGTGTGATAATTGAAGAAAGGAATTTTAAGCAGGGTACACGAGATCTGATGTTACATTGTATCCAGATTTGCCGAAGGAGACGCCGTTCGTTACATGTGACACGATAAAAAGTATATGCCAATGTAGAGAATAGGCATTTTATTTTCGTATCATCTGCAAAGTGCTTAGACTTAAAAGAATGTTGTGATAATTTATGCTAGTTATACTTAAATGTAATATGTAAAAATATGAACTTGCATCAATAAGAAAACAGCAGTAGGAACCCAAGGATACTAAAACAGTCTCTTGGTGCTTATAGACCTTTTATTATTTAGCGAACGTATCTGAACGTATTGTCCACTGAGGTCTGCAACTGATTAAGACTCTCATTCTTGTACTGTGAGTTACTTAATTACACACGTTTAAGAAATTGTTTCCTCGAGCGTTGTACATGTTGACTGGCAAGTTGGGTTCTTAAATTTGAATCTGCCGCATGGACACGCGTGTTTTCTTGCGACAGACACGTTTTAATATGACGTTAACAGAAACGTACGTCTTGGTGTGATGCAATACTTGTTCGATATGAAAATTTTTGGCTTTTGACAGTTTATTTTAATTTAATGCAGAAACTTTTATATGTGACATTCATTGTCTTTATGTGCAATCCTTATTCTGTGTGAGTAAAGTTTATGTGTTTTATTATTAGATTGCTTATATTTCAGGAAATGGTGTTTGAATGCACTACTCAGTCTAGAGACCTCATACGTGAACGAGGAATTGATTTCTATAGCAATATTTCTAGTCCTTTGATTATGCTGAATCTGTAGCTTTGATACTATGTGGATTGAGGTGGCATTTAGAGAGTACGCACTTCCTGTAATTGTTGTTTGCAATTGTACAGATCAAGTGGCTTGGATTTTTATGAGACTATTTCATTTCTAGTGATGTTACATTTTCATTTCCTGAAATGGTACCCGTGTCAGAAATTGCAAATTATTTATAGGAAAATAAATTATATTTTATGGAAAGGATTGTTCTGAAGCCTCAGACGTGCAGACCTTTAATTTTAATGTATAATGCGAAGAAGATTATATATTTTCTCATTTTCTTTTTGTTTTTGGTCTCTTCGTTATTCTAACAGTGATTTTGTCCTGAATTATTATGTGTATGTGTCGACAGCATCTTATCTGAAACTTAGTTCGCCCGTGACAGTATTTATAAATTGGTACTGACTGAGTTGCGTTATGTTTTAATGATGGAGAATAATTCAGTTTTAGTTCTGATTCATGCTCGTCACACCTTGTAGATAGATTATATATAAGATTTCTAAATGCTACCTCTGGACTGAAGATGAAGTTTTGAACTGTTATGATCTTTGAATTCTGTAATTAAATGTGCATGAAAACAGGCGAGTAATGTACAGTCAAGTAAATAACCTATGTGGTTAGATGGTAATTTTGTTAGTTTACTTGTACTGGATAATTGGAGACTGTTTTTCTAATTTAAGCTGCAGAGATACAATTTTGATTGATGTTTTGTTATAATGACCATTTTAAAATGAGTGAAATTACAAAATATTAGTTTGTTCATTTTAACAATTACTTATATTTGAGTAATGTTAATACTTTATTAATCATCACGCCAGGATGAAATTAACTATAACTGTGACATGTTTGTTTTTTTCTAAAAAAGCAAAGACAAAAATATTTTTGAAATTAACTATAACTGTGACATGTTTTTTTTCTTCTAAAAAAGCAAAGACAAAAATAATTTGTTTTATTAGGAAATGTGGTCCCACGCCGTAGTCGCGCGGTCTGAGGCATCATGCTTCGGACCGGTGATACGGAATGCGAGCCGGTTCGAGTCTAGGGGTAGAAATTTCTCATGAGATTTTCTACCAGTGTATGCGACCGGTGCCAACCCAGCATCGTGAGGAACTTGGGGAGCTACAATGGGTAGTGTAATCCGGTCAAGAAAGCTAGCAATAGCTGGGGGTTCGTCATGCTGACCACGCGTCACCCTACATCTGGTTGGATGATCGTTCACCTCTGCTTAGGCATGTGAACGTGAGGCCAGCGGCCAGCTAGTCGGCTTTGGCTCTCAGAGGGCTGTTACGCCACGGACTATTATTTATTATTATTAGGAAATGTGATGTGGGTTATACGCTTCAACCATCCCAGACTGTACTAAACTTAATTGTCTGCATGTTTCTGCCTCTTAGACCATGTTTTCCAAAACCAGGATTAGAATATCAGTCACTATTCATAACGTATTTGTTCTTACAGAATTTTCCACTCACCTTCATTTATTACGGGCAGTTAATGTGATTCATTGCTTTGTGCTCATTGGTTTATTTGTTTGTCTTTCCAGTTTGGAAAAAAAGAAACAAAGAAAACACTCTTATTCATTCTGTGATTCTAGACGTGGAAAGGCAAATGTGTTAAAACTTTGAAGAGGTCACTTTGTTAGGTTTTCTCAAACCAATATAATGCAGGTATCGGACAGTATGATTTTGAAGTAACTTATTTGCCGTAGTTCGGAGAATACACAGATTTTGAGAAAATTACAATAGAAGACATCTTTCAATGAATGCACACGTTGCACTTTCGTAATTATTGAAGAGATTTTTGTGAACTGTGCATTTTATATGTAGGATTTGATGTTTCTGTACAGCTCGGTGGTACGTACAAGATGTTCGGACCAATTCTGTGAGGAATAAATAGTATATTTATTAGCGGTCAGCATTCCAAAAGTTATGTAACTGATATTGTTATAAATTTGCCATTATGCATTTGTACTGTGGAGTGTGCCTTACTGCGCTTTATAAAATAAGATGCAGTTTTAGATCTGCGCACCGTAAATGAAGAACAGTTAGCTGAGTCATGGACAAAGAATCAGCCATCACATTAAGATACTGAATAGGTTACTTTTATGAGCTACGTCGTTAAATTTTCTTGCCTTTGATTCAGAATGTAATAATGATTCTGTTTTGGACTAACTTTTACTCATGTAAGTATACTTTCTAAATTGTAAGCCATGTGTTCTTTTATGAGAATACTATGATGATGTCGTCTGTCATCTGAGGTAATATGATAAACACATTTTAGGAGCTGACCATACGCTCCAAACGTCAAGCGATTGGTTGTCATGAAACTGGCAGATTTATTGCCACTTTTTTGTTTTTATGTTAGTGGTGACAGGATTGAACTCAGGGGTGGGGGGGGGTGCCTTTTGAATAGCTTACTAGCCTCGTACTGAAAAGGTCTTGGGTTCAGTCTTAACCATTACCACTAATGTCAAAATAAAAAGGTGATAAAATTGGTCAGTATAATGACAGCCATTTACGTGATGCTAGTAGAGCCAAATTCTTAAAAAGTATAGATGGAATGTATGTTTGACTATGGACAGTGTCCCACATAATATTCTTATGATGAATCAACATTGTCACAAACCTTTAAAGATTTGTTTGTTTGTAACTCTTGAGCGCTGGGTTTTGAATTCTTCAAAAAATTGTATCTGGGTGTCACTTGTTAGAATTTGTACTTTTGTGGCATAACAGCGAACCACGTATGTCCTAACACTTCAGTGCATCTTAATAATGTCCGCTTGTGTAATATCCGAGTGGATGGAATTATCAACATTAAGGCAGCCTCTTTCAGTAATAAATGTGTGGGTTGATCCTTCAATTTAAGCTTTTTAATTCAGAAATGTAATAAACTGCGAAAAATTAAAATATCTCAAAGTTGCCTTAAGATGAAAAACTCACTGTTTGTCTCATGTGATTGAAGTTTGGAATTTTAATTTACTAATTAAAGAGATATATGCATTTAACACTTACATATATATGATACAGGTATTTTGTAGTAAGACGCTATCTTGAATCTGTTGTCACTAGTCTGTTGTTTTGAGAAACCATAAAAAAGTGACATTTCCTCTAGTGGTTATGTAAATAAGATATTTTTAATTAAATCTTGACATATTATTTTGAAATACACAATATTTCTTATCTTGTTATAATTTTTATTCTTTTTCTAAACATTAAAAGTTTTGCTGAGCAATAATCGTCAAGTGTTGGGAGCTTGTATTTTATTGATCATGTTTTGTCGTGTCCTTACACGTTTTGTAACACTATAATAGTGCAGTAATTTTTTGTGTGTGTGTTTTGTATGAAAGTTTTATCATTATGTTATAGGTGTGTTAAATAAGTTGTAACACTAAAAATGAAATGAATATGTGTAGCAATCTTATTGTGACGGAAAATGTAACGATAAACTGAAACCCATTTCTAAGCTTTTAATATTCCATAACTAAATTTTGCACTTTCCTTAATCAATTTTAAATGAATTGTTACTTCATTTGTATGTTAATTTGTCACATAATCCACTAAACCCATGCTTCGTTGGACAAATACATTAAGTTCTTGAACAACGTAGAACGTTTTTCATCATGCAACGTATACCAAACAATTATGAGGGTTATTGTGTGGAGAATTAAATTATTTCGTCACAGAGGGTGGTGTCTCATCTTCTGTCCGTTATATGCATGGTACCAAATTAAAGTAATTTAAGATAATCTACTTATGATAAACAACCCAGAAGACAGATATCTTGATATATTTCTTCCTTATTCAAGACATAATAAGAGATTTGGAATTCATTAATGGAAATCATGTTAGGGTGATTATTCAGTGAAATGGAGGTACTAGCTTTTTGGATACATTGTATTATTGTGAACAATTGAATTTATTTGCTAAATGTCTTTCTTAAAGTAAGAGATACAAATTAATTTTTGTACTAGATAGAATGGGAAGAGAAAATAAGTACTCTCGGACTAAGATCCCATAGGTGCGTGTTGGGACGATAATACCAGGTGTTAACAGTCGTACTCGGAAATTATGCAGTGGAGGAAGATAGTAAAATGAAGTTTTTTCTGAGCCTGCTACCTGAAAATGTGGTCGATACACAATACGTAGTCTACCCGTGGGCATTTCTTGATTAGGATGCGGTAATCTGAAATGTTGTAGACACATTACATCAAATATTTATTTTAATAATGTGATGTATAGAAGAACCTAATTCTACACTGATCACAATATACATTCCAGAAATGTTTTTGCAGAAATCTTGGTAAGAAATTGAGTCCATCAGAAATAAGCTATATTTTTGCATATCTTTGCAGTCGGTGATAACAGTATCCTTATTTGTTATGGCTGAGTGTGAGGTAATTCAAAATTTTTGATTGGATACCTCTCCTGTCTTTACTGTGGTATTTTGTTATAGGTGTATGCACCAATTTTATTTTCAGTAATAAAGGAAGAAGTGAATTTGTCATTACTTCAGGCAGTTTGTTTAAAGTTCACAAATTTGAGACTGGTTATTCTTTTGCTTTTGTCAACTTTGGAATGGGACACATTCAGTTTCTTTTTACCCTGATATTGAATTACATGATTTAAATCTGTTAGACTTCTCTGCTAAATTTTAAACAGTACGGTGACACTTTTATGGCAGAATTTGATGACGACCATGATTATTTTGATT